GGATACTTCGGTTCGTAAACAATGCACGTGACGTCAACAATGCCATGCGGTCATAGTACTTAGAAACGAGTGACCTGCATAACACACATAATGCAATTATCAAAGCTATACAAACTAAGCATTTCGCCGACGACATTGCACAACTTAATAAACGTTATAAAGCGCGAATAACAAGCAGTATTTTAAACTTAAACCCGTTCCGGGACGAGCACAAAATCTTACGTATAGGATACTAGGAAGGCGACTAGAAAATGTCAACTTAAGTCAAGAACAGAAACATCCAATTATCTTACCCTACAACGACAAGTTAACGGAGTTACTGATCGACAAAGCGCACAAGAGAACCCTCCATAGTGGAGCCAGACTAACCCTGTCATATCTACGCAACAGATATTGGATTATCAGCGGTTTGAGAGCAGTGAACAAACAACTTATGCGGTGCATCACGTGTCATCGCTTCAAAACTATCAACAACAACCAACTCACAGGTCCGGTCGTGCATGGATTACTGCTGTCACATATGGGCTGGTGCTGCAAAATGCCACCTGGCAGAATTGGAATCAGTGGAGAGACGTACTAAGGGGCTCATTGGTGACCTTGATTTGGTTGAAACCAATATTGTCAGCCTCGAGCACAGGCGCAGAGTAGCCAGTCTCTCGGTATTCTATAGGATGCATTTCGGTGAGTTTGCGCAGGAATTACACGCTTTAATTCCTCCATCTCCTTTCCACCATCGGAGAACCAGACGCTCGGCGGCTGTTCATCCCTTTGTTGTCGATATTCCACGCATTAGAATGAAACGGTTTGCTTCGTCTTTTGTAATGCGTACAGCAAAGAAGTGGAAGAATTTGCCGGCGTCTATCTTTCCGTCCGAACACAATCTGGGCGTCTTCAAGGTAAGAGTGAATAGGCTTTTATTACGATAAGACAGTGCGATTTACCATCTAAGACTGCATCACCACTTTTCACTAGGTGGGATTGTGGTCAAGCACTGGGCTTATTATAAGTTAAAAAAAAACTCATGGATTTACCTCCTCCACACGTCACACCATCCCGGCCCCTTTACACACACCGGTGTAGATTTCAAACATCACCTCAAACGAGTACTTGGGGATCAAAAACTTACGTTCAAAGAATTTTCCACACTCTTGGCACAGATGTCTCAATTCTCGCCCTCTGGTGGTGTTATCTGAGAATATCGAAGACCTTGACTGCTTGACACCGGCTCTCCTGATCGGTGAGCCTTCTCTGGAACCACCCCTATCCACTGAGGGTAATGACATGACCTTCCCTACAAAATGGCAACTTACCGAGAAAATGTATAATCTGGTACATCTGGAGAAAGTGGTCCACTGACTATCTCCAAACTCTACAAACTCGAAGCAAATGGCACTTTCCTACAAAAAACTTCATCTTTACATGAAGTGTTTGATGCATCATGAAACTTTGTTTAAAGGTATCAGTCGACTCAATAAGCAGGTATATGACTGTCTGCCTGGCCTACCTGGGTACACCTGGTACTGCGCATACAATAAGTCGCAAAAAAAAATTGCCCAAAAAAAAGTGTTTGATTCAAATAATAATAATGACTATCCGTCAGCTAAGTTGATAACGAATTAAGAAAAAAAATGACAGACACTTCTGAAGGGGTTTACATAGGGGCAGACTACCCCAAAGTTGTATTTTCAAAAATTCCAAAAATAAGTGTTTGATTCAGTTTGCCATTTTTACAGTATGTTTATTATATATAATTAAAAATTCTCACAAAAGGGCAGACAGTTTCTCCGGGGGTTACTAATTTAAAAATCTATACAAATAAATAAAATTTAAGTGTCTGTTTTTAATGACAAAATAACAATTTTTTACTAAGCGCTTATGATATTATATACGATATTTATAACAAAAACACAATTTTTAAAATTTTTGTGTCTGTTTGTTCCGGCTAATGTCCGAAATGGCTGGACCGAATTTGACGGGACTTTCACTGGCAGATAGTTGATGTTATAACGAGTATTTTAGGCTACTTTTATTTTAGAAAAATTATTAGGGTTTGGCGCAAAAAAATAAAACCCTAAATTACACGCGGGCGAAGTCGCGGGGAACAGCTAGTATTTAAATAAATGTTAAAAAATTATAATTATTATCATGTTTGTCAATTGGAATCGAATTCTGCTGCCAATGTACTTATCAAATCATGTAATACCAGGAAATATGAACCATTTAAAAAGTGATAACAAATATTTATATGGAATATGTAGCTGCAAACAAGAAAGGAGTCATTAATATTACTCAATTATATATTGAATTAGGTACAACTCTTTGTATAAGACTGCCAGGATTTCACGCTGTGACAGGATGCGACTATAATCCTACATTCTTTAAAAAGGGTAAAAAAAGATCATTTCAAACTATTAAAAACAACAGTTATCAAAAGACACTGACGGACCTTGCAAATGACGATGTACCTGGTCTCCAATATGAAACATTTACAATACTTAAAAAATTATCTATTATTAGCTTTATGGTTATAAAAACTGTACGGATGTTAATAATGCTCGGTTTCGAAAGTTTTGCTCTACTTATAAATCGAAAAATACAAACGAACCATTCGAAAAACCTATTCAAAGATGTGATGCCTCAAATTTACCGCCGTGTTAGTCAGAATTACATCAGCATCTTTTGCGTACGCAATACATTACCAGTGTTTGGCGCAATGCTCACTTGGTTAATCCAACTAATTTGGTACCAGCTGGTAATGGATGGACATTAAAAAATTAAACGTATGAATTTAAGTGTTTTGAAGGTGATTGCGTACCTGAAATCGTATTAGATGCTATCAAAACTTCGGAAAATAACACTTCCAACAGAACTGGTCAGTATTTTGAAATTAATTTATTTTATTTTATTGATTGTCATTTACTAATTATTTTTTTACAGATGACGAATTGATTTCTCCTCAAAGTGAAGACTTGTTTGAAAGTGACGAATCAACCGATGCTGAAGTGTCAGATTTCAGTGACAGTTAAAGCGAAAACTAATAAAATATATGTATTTATGTATTTTTTCTTTTAATTTGTCAGATTTTTTTTCATTGTAACTAACTAATAAAAAATCTCCATTAGCTGTACATAATTATTGTTGTATAATATTACAGTAATTTGAGTATTTTAGTTGTAACAACTGTACAAGATCACGAGATCCGCAATGGGAGCGCGAAGAATGACTACAACCCGTGGCACATTTCCTGCTGCTGTCTGCTTTCTTCGCAAGATTTATTTAAATATTTTTTAACTTTAATAGCTAAAAAATAGGAGAAACTGTCTGCCTTTTTGTGATATTTTTTTATTATATGTACATAATAAACACGCTGCAAAAATGGCAGATTACATAATACACTTTTGTTGGAATTTTTTAAAATATAATTTTGGGGTAGTTTAACCCTTCAAAAGTGTCTGCCATTTTTTTCTTAATTCTTTACCAACAAAGCTGACGGATAGTCAGTATTATTTGAATCAAACACTTTTTTCACATATCGGCGACCGTCGCTCTCTGTCGCACTCATTACAACCCTTAGCACATTTGTCTCCTGTCCACACAAGATTTATTTAAATACTAGCTGCTCCCCGCGACTTCGCCCGCGTGTAATTTAGGGTTTTATTTTGCGCGGAACCCTAATAATTTTTCTAAAATAAAAGTAGCCTAAAATACTCGTTATAACATCAACTATCTGCCAGTGAAAGTCCCGTCAAAATCGGTCCAGCCATTTCGGACATTAGCCGGAACAAACAGACAGACAAAAATTAAAAGTTGTGTTTTTGTTATAAATATCGTATATAATATCATAAGCGTTTAGTAAAAAATTGTTATTTTGTCATTAAAAACAGATACTTAAATTTTATTTATTCATATAGATTTTTAAATTAGTAACCCCCGGAGAAACTGTCTGCCCTTTTGTGAGAATTTTTTATTATATATAATAAACATACTGTAAAAATGGCAGACTGAATCAAACATTTTTTTTGGAATTTTTGAAAATACAACTTTTGGGTAGTCTGTCCCTAACCCCTTCAGAAGTGTCTGCCATTTTTTCTTCTTAATTCGTTATCAATTTAGCTGACGGATAGTCATTATTATTATATGAATCAAACACTTTTTTGGGCATTTTTTTTGCGACTTACCTGTATGCGCAGTACCAGGTGTACCCAGGTAGGCCAGGCAGACAGTCATATACCTGCTTATTGAGTCGACTAATACCTTTAAACAAAGTTTCATGATGCATCAAACACTTCATGAAAAATGCGTCATGAGCTCTCGGACCACAACGACAGGTGGGTGCGATTACACAAACGTGGCGCGGGCTGTACTCCTGTTGCGAAGACTGCAATTTAATTCGCATTTACAGCCCAGCTGGAATGACGTCACAGCACTTACACGGCACGGGGCTTATGTTACTCGGACTTGGTTGTATGCTCAAGGGAAAAAGCTTCATCATTCATGCTCGAAACGACTATCACAGCGAGTTGAAACTAACAGGCAGTGAAGAAAGAATGTACATGCGCGAATCAAGCCTGAACCACATATTGACATACTTGAATTATACATTTGTTCTCGAATACCATAAAGACATCTTACAAGAGCGGAAAAACAAAATTGATAAGGTTAAGGAACAGCAATAAACGCTTAGTGTACAATCACTTACACACGACACACACAACTATGTATTGTACACCATTGTCGGAGTTATCGTGGCAGCCTTCATTGCATGTGGGACGTTTCGGCTGAAAAGAAGATGTCAAGCTGCAACCTGGATCTCCGCGACAAGCCGGACTCCTATAGCCCTTTCCACCCGAGTTAAACTGATCGTGAGTTTCGACTTTACAAAATTCTAAAGAACAATATAAACAACTTAAGCGGACGCAATCGGCGTCGATCTATCGTGAGTCTACATAAAAATGAGACAAAAAATAGTTTTAGTCTCTGCGCGCGCGTTTCGTCCTGCCACATCGTCGAAAGCCGCATGAGGGATGGCTGCGTTTTTTAATCCCGGTGCCACCGCACGTAAGTAGATCGATTTTTAGTAATTGTATTGGAATATTTCATATTATTTGATGCTATTTGATTAGATACGAGTTCCCGTAGGTTTACTTATCAAGTTTTTGCAAATTGAAGCATTAGTTTTGTAATTATTTTCTGTCAAAATTGAACACGCACGATCATGCAACATCGGTCGTAGCACGTGATGTTGTTACATTTTGTTATTTTGATCCTATACAGTGTTTAAATGGCCTTTTCTTCTTTATTAGGGATTCCAATTACGGATGATGTAATATTAGAACAATTGATGAACGGAAACCTATCGGAGATTGAAGATTTTGATGATGACGACTTGGAATTTGAACCAAATACCCTATTTGATCAATTGGCTTGCGAAAATCTCTTCGATGGTGACAATCCTAATGCAGATGAAGAAACAAGCCACCAAATCTCAGAATTGAAGTGTCCTCCGGTGGTGCAACCTCCATCTACATCGACACCGCAACCTCCTACTTCAATAATGACGCAACATCCTCCTCCACCAAGGACGCAGTCTCCATCAACAATGCAACCGTCTTGCCCATCATTATCATCCACGTCGCGTCGTTATCGAGAAAGGTCAGTATATTTATCCTCTGAGCGATCGAGATCAACCACCAGTACTCGGGGAAGAAAATCGGTGTCAACACCATGTTCTCAAGGGAATAGATCAGCATCAACATCAAGTGGTAGGAAAAGAATATGGAAGCAAGTTCCATTTGTAGATAAACTGCATAACTATCTTCCCTTGCCTAAAAAAGTAGTAAGGCGTCCTATCGACTACTTTCGTGACTACATAGATAACGAATTTATAGAAAGGATATCTCACTGCACTAACTTATATTACTTACGTACTACGGGCCGTGAATTGAAAAGTACAAGCAGTGAGATCGCAAAGCTCCTTGCAATACAAATAATCATGGGTTGTGTTCCTTATCCCCGACTGCCTATGTATTGGAGGGCTGGTACTAGGTTGGAAATTGTCAGTGGTTTAATTTCACGGGACAGGTTCTTTACCCTTCGCAATTCACTACACGTAGTTGACTCAGATTCTCCATCTGCATCCGAAACTGGTAATCCACTATGGAAGGTTCAACCTATGATCAACCAAATTAAAGGTGCCTGTAGTAAATTAGAAAGGGTGCCGGGATTTTACTCGATCGATGAGCAGATGATACCGTTTACAGGCCGCTGTCAACTTCGTCAGGTAGTGAAGAACAAACCTAGGCCTGTAGGGATTAAAAACTTCGTCCTCACAACTAGTGAAGGATTAATGTTAGATTTTGAGTTATACAGGGGTGCAAGGACGATGTTTGGTGATACGAATCTCGGTCTGGGTCCTTCGGTAATCTTACATCTAGCTAAAAGTATTCCCCCAGGTAGCTGCGTATACCACGATAGATATTTTACCACCGTTCCTTTGATTGAAGAAATGAACAAGTTAAATCTGCATTCGACTGGGACAATAATGTTAAATCGTATCCCTGACCGAGCTACAATAAAATTTAAAATTGATTCACAAATGACTCGTGGTGAAAGCCAACATTTTGTTTGCGAACCTGTTACAATAGTAAAGTGGAAAGATAATAAATCGGTATTACTTGCATCCAACTGTACTGGCTCTGCCGCGACGATTATCGTTAAAAGGTGGGATAAAACCATTAGACAGTACGTTGACGTGACTGCTCCAAAAATAGTAAAAAATTATAATCAACACATGGGAGGAGTTGACGTCCTGGATCAACAGATGGAGTGTTATAGAACTTTTATAAAAACAAAAAAATGGACCTTAAAATTGTTAACACACTTTTTTGACCTCGCGCTCGTAAACTCTTGGAGGCTGTATAGAAACGACTGCAATAGAAACAATTATGCAAGGAAAGATACGATGCCTTTACTCGATTTCCGCTTGGATGTGGCAGATGCCTTATCTTGTACACCAAGTAGAACTCGAAGGGATAGTGAAGATGATGACCAGGTATCATCTCCTCGTCGCGACTACAAAATATACAGACCAGCAAATAGACCGTCAGCAGAAAAACGATATGATGGGTATGAGCATTTTCCCACCAGCGACGACATAAAAGCGCCGAGGACTTGTAGATTGGAAACCTGCAGCAGTCGTTCAAAAATTAGGTGTGATAAATGTAATGTGTATTTATGCTTATCCCGTGATAAAAATTGTTTTAAGGCTTATCATATACAATAATAAGTCGATCTCATTGATTGTAATAAGTAAAACCTAAGATCTTGTTGATTGTTGAAGTAATTATAGTTTATTTTTGATCCAATTATAGAAATTAAGAAGATCTCATTTGTTATACGTGATTTTATAAATAATTACAGTTTATTTTTATATATAATTGTAATACAGACTGATTAAAGTAATAGGAAAACATACATATTCATATTTTATTTTAATTGATGTTTATTATTTCATTTATATAACCTAAACCATTAATTATTTACATACACTCACGATCGTGCGACTAGCAAATTATTCCTGAGCCTCACGTATGTGAGGGTCTGATTGCTGAAGACCAGCTTCCTTATGATTTTTTTCAGTAATTTTTCCATGACACCTGAACAATTTCCTAACGTATTCTAAGTTCTTACTAATGTATGCGAATTTTTTAACTCCCGGTTGCAAAGGGATAATGTCAAGCAGCCAACCCAAGGACATTTATCGGAGCACCGGGTCTCGGACATTGATAGTGTGGATGCGGTGATCGCAACAACTACCCGTAAACTCAATAGGGGTTCATCACCATAAACTTTCTTCTTGTTTATAAAATTGGCAAGATGTACAAGCAAGTACATAGTATTCCAATTATTTCAATAGTTTAGGAAATATGCTGATATTGTGCCTGCGCGCGCGACACGTTCATTCCATTTACATTTTATTCATAAGTATTTTTAGTACAATAAACGCTCTCTACGGAATCGGACCCAGTTTTAATTACCACATCCCTTAACGTAGATACCACATACATCGACATCCTACACATCAATTATAAGTGGAGGGTCACAATTTACAATTCTCCCCCTACACCCCCCTTAACTTCAACTATAAAAGAGGCCAATTTTCAGCATTAAGCTTTTGATAAGCTGTAATGAAATAATAAATATATTTTGCATTTGCTATAATATATTCTATAAAAAAAATGCATCTTTGTATTTTTATGTCGTGTCCTCAAACCACGAATAAATTCTTTCTTTCTTTCCTTCAATGTTTAATCGTACGAAAACGTCCTTTGCAGAGTTCAATGGAAAATCGCTGACAATAGGTAATCCGCTAAACGCTTGTGAGTCCCTACACGTGTAATTCGAAGACGATATGGTCATGTGAGCTAAGCGGCAATCTTTTACATGGAACATGAAACTTTAGAAATTAAGAACAGAAATATTATAAAAGAGTAATTTTTTTTTCTTATATTTTTGAAAACTTTAAAACGTTTCGAAAAAGGAAGTCAATGGATGCAAGGGGCTTGGGACCGTGCTTTGTGGCATTCTTTGGGGGAGGCCTATGTTCAGCAGTGGACTTGTGAAGGGCTGTGATGATGATGATGATGATGATACGTTTCGAAAAATTGGATAAAGTAATGCAAGAGATAAGAAAAAAATCGGTCAAATGCATAATCAGTGAACCATGCAATCACGACCAATTTTTTAACTTCCTTTTTTAGTGGTGACTAGAGGAAATACCGGGTAAAGCCGCGGTAGCTCAGTATTTGAGCAACACGGTTTCGATCTCCGTTAGTTACAATGAAATTGTTAAGCGCAATTGTAATTGCTGATTTAATACGTGCTCGGTGGTGAAGGAAAACATCGTGAGGAAATAAAAACACTGGAACAGCGTAGCAGACTAATTATTCCATAATGCTGTCAGAAATGAGAGGAAAAGACTGTGCCTAGTAGTGGGATAATACAGGCTATAACTTTACCTTACTTAAGGGAAATACCAGAATAACCTCATGGCCTCCAATAGCAGGGTTTAACAATGTACTTACCAGCCAGGCTATTCACAATCGTCTCGGAAAGCGAAATCGACTCGGATTCGATAACTTCTCGCACCGAAACCAATAAACGCTATTCACATTTAACGTTCGGATAAAGGTCACTTAGATATACAAAATTCGTAAATACATGTAACTAAATGACGATACAATAGTTATAGGATGTATCTAAGGGACCTTTATCCGAACGTTAAATGTGAATAGCGTTTATTGGTTTCGGTGCGAGAAGTTATCGAATCAGAGTCGATTTCGCTTTCCGAGACGATTATGAATAGCCCGGCAGATATAAAGCATCTAAAGATATCTGATACAGCGAGCGCCAGTCTAACTCTAGACTGTGAGATTAAGAATCTTTTTTACATTAGAAGAAGCCCAGCAGTGGACAGAATTGAGCCGGTAAATTTCGAAATGTTGACTAAGAAAAACTTAAGAAAATTTTCTGGTTCCTTTTGCGACGAATGACACTAACATCTTCTAAGTAACACTTAATATAATAAGAGTGATGACTAGAATATTCTCTAATTGCCGCCATACATTTATCCAGAACCCAGAATAGCAAACATTTAAAAAAAAGACATTTAAGAAAATATTTTTTCGGCAATGCCACGAATTATTGATGAAGTTTAAAAAACACGGTAAAGGTATTAACAGAATTTTCCAGGCTTATTTGTAAATACATTTTTCAATATCCCCGGAGAGGCAGGGATGAGTTGTCATAGAGACCAACTGGATCCCATTGAACAGATTTTTCCCTTAGCAGATATTGTGAATTGAATAGTTTATTCTACAAACTCGTGTTAAGAGCTACTTTGATATATATCTTTCAAGAGTTTCCAGTTAGGTACAGCAAGCATACTTATATTGTTAAAATGACCCAATAAAATTAAAAAATATAAATATCTTATAGAATTGTTCAATAAAAGAATTTAACCCGTGGCAAGGCAGAAAAAATTAATACAACTACGAATGTTTAACGCACTCTAATATTTTTAATGTAAGCAATATCCATATTTCTGGATATAGTAAGTATAATTTATAAACTGTAACCGTCTTATTACAAAATTAGTTCATAATTAGTCTCTGGTTTAAACTAGAATTTGTTACACGAAGGAAGTTGACAGCAAATGTCAAATTTCTTTACCTAAAATATTTTAAGCTCAAAACTATTGATAATAATAAGAAGAATCATAATTAGAGTATAAATTAAGGTAAATAATTGATGGCTGACATTGAGGACACAAAAAAACCGAGATAAATAAATTGTTTCGGCAGGAAATAATAAAGAGATGCGTTGTGGCGTGATATCCGTGTCCTGTCATGTCCTGAATCCGGGATACTGGTAACAAGATTAGGAATATATACATATTTATATTATTTTATATCCAAGTCATTGAAACACTGCTATGCTTAATTTTGGTATTTTAACATTGTTTTCGTAAAGCCCTAAAATATCAAGGCATTCGATTATTATAAACATTAAAAGCTAAAAGAAATTCAGTTAATGTAAATAAAAGCTTAAAGATAATTTACTTTCATCTGGAATCTCTCAACGACTAGTTCGAACAATGAAAACAATAAACATTTTTCATTTACACGGAAAAATAATAGGAATTGGAATTCAAAACAATCATTGAATTAAAGCAGTAGATAAGTGGCAGAACTGAACAATACGGAAAGAAACAAATTATCTCTATCTGGCTAATTGTCGACGGATCAAAGTGGGGTGCGTGGTAGGTAAATCCGACCTAATATTTTTTTTATTCAACAAACGTAGGGTGAGGTGGAGATGGCTACGGGCGCTATTCGCAATTATTGTTATTACAAAGAGATTGCCGCTGAGCCGGCTCAGAACTCGGGAATTTTTCACAGAAATTCATTCCAACAACTCATAATTGCAGAGTACACAATTTTACTCTGTTATAAAGAACCACGCATTTTAAATACCCGGATTACTTAGGCTTTTTGTTAATATAATATACAAAATTAAGGGATAAAATCAGTCTAATTCAAAAACAACAAATATTTTTTCATGGTTTTCACGATTAATTGGTTTGCATTAGCTACACACATCAACAAATTCTATTCTTGTCGAACAATATTTCGCATTTATCAGCATAAAATGAGGTACTTGCCATATAAGATTTAACTATCAATTCGGTTGTAAAAATACAGTCTCTCATTTTTTTATTCAAATTAAAACTGAAAAACTGTATTATAAAACTATTTTTTTTAGTAATTAATTAAATACCGGTGTTCTTTTTTCTTCTATATAATGGGGCGCCGCACTTTAATCACTGTAGTGAATTTGAATGCAAAAGCCATGCTAGAAGCGGCCGCGATGCAGTGCAATGTTGTTGATACCATATTAATTAGTTAATTCTTCTAGTTGTCGACCGCACGGAATGCCTCTTGGTGTCTTAGGTACAAGACAAATCGGAATTTAATTTAGTCTAATTTAATTTGATTTGATTAGATTTATCACGCAGAGAAACTCCGAGCATAGCCCTCTCCATAGCTCGCTGAGTGACCTTGAGCTTCCTCATACGGCCAGCAGTGAAGGACCACGTCTCAGTTCCGTAAGTCATCACTGGCAACACGCACTGGTTGTACAATTTCGTTTTAATGTTTTGAGGTATGCGTGATAAACTTAGGAATGAGGATATCCGCAGTAGAACCAGAGTGACCGACATAGCCCAACGGATTAGTAAGCTGAAGTGGCAGTGGGCCGGCCATATAGCTCGAAGAACCGACAACCGATGGGGAAGAAAGGTTCTCGAGTGGCAGCCTCGTACCGGTAGGCGAAGTGTAGGGCGTCCCCCCACGAGATGGAGTGACGACCTGGTAAGACATGCAGGAAGTCGATGGATGCAGGTGGCTCAGGACCGTGTTTTGTGGCATTCTTTGGGGGAGGCCTATGTTCAGCAGTGGACTTGTGAAGGGCTGTAATGATGATGATGATGATTAGATTTAATTTGACTTAGTTTCATTTAATTTAATTCTAATATAATATAATTTTTTTAAATTTATTTAATTGGTAAGTTGCGTTTTAATTGCTCTCACTGCAAATAATGTCTAGTTTAGAATGTAAGTTCCTTTTTACCTGGTAGAGCCATGCTGCAGCTATATTAGTAGTATACTTATAGCACGAATGTGTGGACTCGACCGGGAAAGGACCACGCTCTCACAGAATACCAGCGTAAAATAGCAGCATAAAACTGTTGTGTTTCGTATGGTGAGTGTAGAGAACCGGAGACCCTTTTTACTGGAAAAGAGGCATTCCATCTTAGTCCTAACGGGTGACAATGCATCTGCATTTTGATTCGCAAGCGAGGATAGATGTAGATGTCTATAGGCCATAGAAACCACTTACCATCAGGTGGACTGTGTGCTCGTTTGTCACTCT